TTTGTGTTTATACCTGCCTCCCCCTCTGCTCCGTGTAAACACAGCCTGCAGTTCAACCTACTTCACTCCCTGAATTTTTGTTGTGTGTGTGTTGGTCACAGCTCAGTCAGTCATGGCTTGATGGTTGCACCAAGGACCACAAAATTTTTTGTCTTTTACAGAAACTGTTTAATTATTTTTGACAGTTTTTCTAATGGGACATGTAGAATGCAGGGATTTCAATCAAATATTACGGTTTTAAACTTAGTTTTCCAATGAAACTGCACAACACACACAAGTACTTCATAGAAAAAAGCTGAAAATGTGATGATTCTTTTGGTTTCAACAGTTTGTAGATATGATCAATTGTGTAATTTTGGTGATTTTTTAAATTTTTTTATTTAAAGATAACGTGCCTCTCAGTGGATTTCTTTTGGTTCAGATGGTTAAAGAGCCCATATTGTGCTTTGGGGGATTGTTCCTTTCTTTTATTGTGTTGCACGGCTGTTTTATTGTGCATGTGAAAGGTCTGGAAACTTACAAAGTCCAACGTCCAAAGTGAAAGCGAGTTATTCTCCGTCACCGTGTTACTGCAGCAGGTAGTTTGGCATTCCCTTAAACAAAGAACGAGTAGCTTAATTGCACGTCTGCATTATTTCGTCACTAAAACTGCTTCTGCTAGAATCGCCAATCAAAGCGGACTTTTAAAGCAGGACCTTAAAGAAACAGGAGCATAAACTGAGTATTTCAAACAGAAAGTAAGAGGAGGCACTGCAGCCACATACAATATGAGAGAACACATTAAAGCATCTAAGCATATTTTCTTTAAAAAACTACTCTGTGAGATCTCACAAACATTTTAGATTAGCTTTAAATTAAAAAAGTCCAACGTTAACCAAGCATGGCTTCACAGCAGCTGTTTAAATTTCCCCTTCACGCCTGCAAAGCCCAGAATAAAAATATTTCTGCAATTCAAACTTAAAAAGATGGCAATATGATTTATTTTATTCTATTTTTTTTTTGCTGCTTCTCATTTTGGTGCAACTTATTTAGACTCCCGTTGGCTGGCCAAGCTTAATTAATGTGTTGGCAACAAAGTATGAAATTCAGATTAAGTCTTCTAAAGTGTTCCCCACAGAGAGCAAACTATAATTAGAAAAATGAAAAAAGTCCTTGTGACACCCTTGAGAAAACTCGATGACTGTGCCCCACTATTTGTCTGAGGACGTGTTTTGCGCAGAAATGACATTCTGTTTCCTTTGGAAATCGACATCTGAGTCGTCCTTTATGTTTATGAGGTAATGCAGAGGGAGAGCTGAGGGTTGAAACTTTAATAAAGCTCGAATGAATTTGTCGAATTAAACCGGGAGATTTATTTTAGCGTTAGCACTCAAGGAATTGTTTGTTTAACAAATACGGCAGCACTCCTCTCATGATTTAATTTTGAACCAAATAACGTCCTCTCTCCTGAAGTGTGGGCTTAGTAAACCTCTACAGAGCAACTAAACTTCCAGTTGTGTTTCTGTGGGCCAGTGCATGAATATTTTTGGGGGTATTTTGTGTTTTATTGCACAGATCATAAAAGCAGGAATATGAATGTTTCCACACAGCAACTGCATGTGTATTCTTAATTAAAATGCTGAATATTTGTTAATGTTTTCTCAGAATCGCTCCAATTCCCACTCAATTCGGTGCGCATCACATGACTGCGAGCATCTCCCACGCAGATATTTCAGTCGCCCTCTCTCCTCTCCGTCCTTAACTCGGCGTCTAATGACATAATGATACATTTGCTCAGAGTGCTCAGAGGCTCTACATCGCAGCTCTGAAAGCACTACTTTATGTCAGATCCACCCCCTGCAGAATGTGACAACTGTCTACTGTCCCGGTCTGCTGTGTGACAACCAAACCCTCGTAGCCGCTGCTGTTTGCATCGCCGACCGTCGTTTGTGTTCTCTGCTGGAAAAAAAAAAAGATCATCAGCAGAGTGAGCAGCGACATGCCGCGCTGCCCACTCGGCAGACTTTGCCACGCCGCTGAGCCGGATGTCAAATTGTGTCTCTTCCCTCGTTTCTGCTGTGTGTCAATACAAGGACTCTTATAGTTCGTCGCTCACCTTGAGTTAAAGTTTCTTTTTTTTCTATGTCACTGTGGTTGCTTTTGTAGAGAACTGTTGGATCGGGACCGCGGTTCAGCCCAGCGAGATGTAGCGCCTCGCTGCCCTCAAAGCCGGATTTGTTGTCTACTCATGGTGAGTCTTCTCTCAAGTTTCATGGCACTTGAACCAGTGTGTAGCTGGGACCCCTTTACACCCACTGCTGCAGTCATGCTCGCGTTACAACAGATGCTTGTGTTCTGCTACTAGGCCATAAACAAGACAAGAATACTTGTGTTGTCATTTTCTTCACGACTGTGATAGATGCAAGGGTGAACTTACAGGACGTGCATGTTCAAGTCTTTTTTCTTTCTTTTTTAAAACCTGACATCTATACAGCAGCCTTTAAGGGATTGGACGCCTCCCAAAAAATGATGGTTTAACAATTTAGGCTGAGGTGCAAACATACTGTCTGGCTACCCTATCAGTAAATTCCATCTTGGCATTTTATCTGAGGTTTTATGGGCTTTCAGCTTGTTTAAACGTGTCATGTGAAACGAGTTCCGCCTGGCTAAACGACCCAGGAATTACCCTACCAATGTCTAATTATTTGTTTAAAATGCTGCATGTCATCACACAAAAGCACGACGGTAAGAATGGACTAGATATAGTTTTTTAACCATCTGTGCCCCAAGTGGTTTCTTTTCCACTCCTGTCGCATTTTTACTCACTGTGGGCTCATTTTTTTTTTTTAGAAAGTCCTGTACCTCTATGGAAACAGCACAACTGTGGCTAAAAGTAGAGAGAACTCAAAATGTGTTCTTTGCAATATAAAAAAAAGTTTTTAAAATAGCTAATTTATTAACAATAATTGTAAAAAATAAAAAGAAAAAAGGATATATACATTATCAACCATTATCAACACTGAGAAAATGGTGGCTCTACATAAGTACAGATGTTTTACGGCTTGTAATTTGCTCTCTGCTCTCTACAAACACAACCTGCCATTCACCCGAAAAGTCCCTGAATTTTTGTAGCGTTACTGTTGACTGCAGCTGAGTCACGAATGACTTCTCAGTTGCTACTAGGAAGGCAGATTTTGTTTTGTTTTTTACAGAAACTGGTTATTTCAAACAGTTTAAGTTCAGATTTTTAAATCGGACATGTAGGTTAAGGTGATTTTAATGAACTATAATGATTCAATTTGGATGATTCTCTGACAGATCTCTGGAAAGGGTGCGTCACAGATAAATAGTGGAAATGGAAATGTTATGAAAAATCAAAGTCTTTTTATGGTATGTGGTGTTGGCATATTTTAAAGATATCATGCCTCTAAACTCAGTGGCAGGTTTTGACATTCAGAGGATTCAACTTTTTCTTATTTAACCCCTAAAATCTATACAGCAGCTAATCAGCCTTTAAGAAATGGGATGCCTATCAAAGAATGATGGTTTAACATTTTAGATTGAGATAAAAACATACTGTTTGGTTTCCTTATCAGTGAATTCCATCTTGACATTTTATCTTGTAGGAAAACATTTGTGGGTTGGCAGCTTGTTTAAACATGTCATGTGAAACACGTTGTTCACGGCTACACCAAGCAGGACACGACTATAACATACCCTACCAATGTTTCATGACTTTTTTAAAAATACCACATGCCATCAAACAAAAGAAGTCAGCATGAACTCAGTAACTTTTCCATTTGCTGTTTTTTTTTAAAGCTTATTTTTGTGCTTCCGCACTTTTTCTCGAAACTGTCAACTGACAACACACACCTATTAGTGGTGCATCTTTGTGAGCGAGAGGAGTTGGTACTGTCAAATAACAGGAAAACTCTCATCGCCGTGCCGGAAAAACACTCCGTAAGGCTGCCAAAACAGCTTCAATGCACTTTAGCAGTGATTCGTCAGGGTTTCTGGAACTTTACTGGAGTCATAAACACAATTCTTCCTAAAGATATTCACTCATTTGGTGTTTTAATGATGGCGGTGAAGGCTGCTGTCTAACAAGTTGGTCCAGAATCTCCCATAGGTGTTCAATTAGGATGAGATCTGGGGACTGTAAAGGCCATAATGTATAATTCACATCATTTTCATCAAAACTTTCAGCAACCCCTGTTTTCTTATGGATTGTCATCTTGGACGAGACGACTCCCATCAGGTTGGAAATGTCTCACCACAAGATAAAGGTCATTTGCAAAACTTTATATTGATTTGCCGTGACCCAAACCATGCCAGAAAAATGCCCCCCCACAGCGTCACAGAGCCACCGGATCCCCTCAAGCTTTCACGTTTTTCCTTTAATTTGTCCCCCGCTTGTATTTTCACTGTACATTTCTGCGGCAAGTTTGTTGGCGGCGCTGTCATCTCTTCAAGAAGCTGTCTGTCAAAAACAGTCTTATTTTTAAAGAAGTGTCCCGAGCACTGATCGATGCGTCGGCTTGAGGCCATCTGTAATTACTCTGCGACTAGCCAGCCATGAAATTGATGTTTAGCTCTGAAATAGATCCAAACTCGGAGCAAGACCTTTGTGTGTTGCCGTAGTCTGAATAAATGTGACCGTGGCAGCACCAGGAGTTGGTAGGATCATTTTGATAGCCATTAAATAAAGCAAAAATACAAAAAAAAGCAATCGACAGTGACCTCCCCTTTGCAGTCTCATTACCACTGTTTACTGTTGTCTCATCCGCACTGCATTATGTCTGGAGTCTGTTTAGTTTTTTTCTGTGTGCGCCTGGAGACGAACAACCTCTGTCAGCTGTTAGAGGGAGCGTGGCGCGCCGGCGCTGCAGAGAGGTATGCGGAGTGACAGTCACTGGCTCACATGTATGCAGCTGTGGCCTGTAAGATGCGAGCAGGCAAATGGAGTGGAAGAGTAGTCCCATTAAACCCTGACTCTCCTCTGAGGAAGAGGCTAACAGCTCTGAGCGCCGGCCTCTCGCTCCGTGGCAGAAAGTGCTGACACAAATTTTTTTGTCTGACTAAAATGCCTCCTGACCGCGTGACACTGGCTCTTTTCTTCCTCGGAGATTCCACAGGCTTTAAAGCTGCGCCTTATACAAAAGAGACGCAGTCGGCGAGTGCTGTTTAGGAGGTGGCATAAATTATGATCATGCCATAAACTGCCGCAAAGGTCTGCATTACTCACATTTTAGAGGGTGAGAAAGGAATTTCTTTATTTGAGCAGTTAATGTGCGTGAAACTTTTCATTTCTCATCTCCCGCATGTTACAAATGAACGTTGCTCTGCCGGCGTCTCTGGCAAGTTAAACAGCCTCACATACACATTATGTTCATTGCAAGCCGTTCAAAAATGCACAAAATCCTGTAATTTACAGGGGTCTTGGACCAGAGAAAGGCTGCCTTGTCCCCTTTGGCCTGCAGTGTGGGCCTGTCAGCTTGTGATTGACGCTGCGTGGCGGCTCCTGTGTTGGTCACTGGTGCGGAGATGCGGAAACATGAAAATGTCTCCGGGCACATAAAGCACCGACTTCTAGTCCTTCAATTGTGCATGTCATGAAATGTGATGCGCCGCAGTAAATTCTCCAACATGAACTTAGGAAGAGGCTGTGGTTACTCATTTCTACACAGCTGAGGTTCTTGTTACAGTAAAGCGGTTGCATTTATAGGCTTTTATCCAGTACGATTAGTCATGCTTTGACCAATCAGATGCTTCAGGCAGTAAATCACAGCCTCGGTGCTGGAGGGGATGATGATGAGAATGATCAGTGTTGTCAAGTTGGTGAAGGGGATGTGAGGAAGATGGTTGCTCCCCAGTGGGGGTGCGTGGGTGGTTTCGCTGCAGCCCACAGCTACCGAAAAAGGGAGCTGTGTCAGATCTGACACACTGAAACCCACAAACGCCGACACTGACAGCCAGTTGTGACGAAAACCAATTTAGGTGGCAGGATAAATTCTGTTTGAATTGTGGGGGAGCTGTCCTCCCTGGCTTGATCTTGTTACTTTTGTTTAAGTCATCCTTGTGATAGGGAAGGCTGGTTTCTCTTCGGGGCTCTGCTAGGACGCGTCGTCACAAATCCACTGAAGATTCACAGCAGATGAGGCAAGAGTTTGTTTTTGCAAGTAGCTGGAATATTCAGGGAAGATGAAGCTGGTAGCATGCAGGTTGTTACTTTGACATAACCTTCTGAACCCTCAAAGTTAGTGGCATGTTATTTAAAGTCCAAACCTGTGAAAACAAATGAAATGTTATTCTGTCTGTGTACTCTTATGTGGGATTCTGTGTAGTTTTTATTGTCATGTTATTAGATGGAAATCAAGGGCTGGTCTGTGGAAAAGAATTTCCCCCTGGGGACAATAAAGTCTAAGTCTAATTCTAAGTCTAAGTCTAAAACATAAAGACTTGTTGGATTGCCAACTTGCCGATGGTTCCTTAACTACTCATCTGTTATTCAATTCAATTCAATTTTATTTGTATAGCGCATATTTACAACAACAGTCATCTCATAGCGCTTAATGTATTATTATTAATGTACAATTATGTGCTTTTCAGTCAGGAATTTGTGATATTTAATTTATATCATGTTATTCTACGTGCCTCATTTAAATATTTGCCAAAAATAAACCATTTGCAGTTACCGGTATCAGTAAAAAACAAAAAATTCTGCATTTCTCGGCACAACTAAGAAGTCATCAGTGACTCAGCTGAGACCGGCAGTCACAAGGCAATAATTCAGGGACTTTTCGGCTGAACGGCAGGCTGTGTTTACATCGGGGAAAAGGATGGAAAAATGTAATTAAGTATAAAATATTTATAGCATTGCGAGTCACCATTTTTATTTCAGTATCGGTTACATATGTGGGCACTTGGAAAAATGTGGTACATGTTGATTCCAGGTGTTTTTTAATTTTTGTAAAACAAATAATCAAAGAAATTCACCTTTTGTGTGTGTGTGTTTTTCCCCCCTTTTTCTCTGATTTAAAGCATTTTAACTGTATCATACTGCACAGTTCTCTCTACTTCTATCCATGTCTGTGCTGTTTCCAAAGGGGTGTTGCAGTAAAAAAAAAAAGAGCCTACAGTAAGTGAAAATGTGGCAAATTTAAAAAATGCCCTAAAACTGCATAGAGTTCAGAGGGTTAAGCATGAATGCAGAAACCTCAGACTGCTTGAACACTAAACGGCCCAAGCCAG